GTGTGTAAGTTTTTTTATCCCAAAAACTTCACTCCCACTATAGCATTTGTAATAGTTTCGTCCGTCTGGTGAGCATTAACTTACCATTCTGTAGCATGACTATTTTGTCAATGATTCTCTCAAGGCCAAAAGTCACTTTTGGTCTATGTAGTTTGGCACTTCAACTACTTTTGATCATGTAGTTTCAATTCCGTCAATTTTGCCATTGTAGTTTCATATTTGTAGTAATTCAAGGACAAGTTAGTATTCCTGTCAATTTCTTTGACGATGCAAGGGACAATTTCATCAACCCAACTCTCCCCATTTCATATTAGGGTTTGGGTTTAGGGTTCTTAAAAAATTGGGATTAGTGGTTGAATATTGGCCAATTTTTGAAGAACCCATAAATCCAAATGGCCAATTTCGAGCCCTAATATGAAATGGGAAGAGTTTCTGATGAGCTTTTATACTCAAGGATTTTGGGTTGATGAAATTACCCCTTGCGCCGTCAAAGAAATTGACAAAAATACTAACTTGTCATTGAATTGCTACAAATACGAAACTACAATGACAAAATTGACGGAATTGAAACTATAAGGTCAAAAGTAGTTGAAGTGCCAAATTATAAGGACGAAAAGTGACTTTTAGCCTTCTTTTTTGTCAAGGGAACTCTATTCATTAATGGTTGGAAACATTACAAAATGAGGAAAGCTCAATCCAAATGCAACCCAACACCAACAAATAAAGCAGACCCAAAGATACAAAACCAAATAAACAACACAAGCCCATAAAACATTAAACAAAAAAAACCTAGATCTAGAACACATGAGTAGCCACACCATATAGCAAGTGAACGACACCACCAGAGCAGATCCATCACCACCAAGGAGAAGTAAACGATACCGAAGGGTATCAAAGAGGCCAATGGAAGATGGGGGAAGCACTCCCATAATCCAAGAGTCAAGTGCAATATGCACTTTAATCGCAATCCCAGACCACCACACACCACCGAGGAAGAACAAAGGGTGGTGGGTGAGAATTGGCGACCAAACAAAGTCGCTGGCCATGGGTGGGCGACATCACAACAGAGAAAAGATTAGGAGAGTGTAGATGTAAGAAGTGGAGGGTGAAAAGTGAAGGTGGTTGAGGAAGAAAGGAGAGGGAGAGATGGGAGATAAAGGGTCTCACAGGGTGGGTTTAGCTTAGGGAAAAATAGAAAAAAGCTAAAAGTGGAGGCAAGGAGCCCCAAATCTGAGACATAGCTCAGGGGGGAAAACACCAATTTCAAATGGGGAGAAGCCAGAGACTCTCAAAATGGAGGAGTAGGAGGAGAGCTCTCTAGAGAGCTCTCAGTTATATTTCAAGTCTTCAATTTGTTGTGTTGGTGGAATCATGACTTTTAGCCTTCTCTCAAATGAGATGTGGTCAAATTGGCAATTTTGTCACATCTAATTGACCATAGTGTGTTTGCTTATTTACATTCGAATTTGATCATCTTTTTATAAATTAGAGCAGTTTAGAGTAATTTAGACTATTACTTATAAGTTGTATTAAAATAAAATAAAAAGATGAGTGACGCTTGCTTTGTGGGCTCACTTATTTCTCGTTTTTCTTGACCTTTAGATTTTATCTCATCCTTCTTTTCCAACAAAAAAAAAAAAGATTCTATCTCATGCTTTGTTGAATTCGCTTATTATTTTCTTGTATTTTTTCATCCGAATTTTTTTTTTATTTTCTTGTATATCTCATCATGTTTCTTTCTGATCTTTGAAATGAATTGCGCTTGGGCCCTTTCTCTGTTTGGGATTGGGTGGAGTACATTTTATTACTACTGGAATTGATTAGGATTTTTTGTTGTTGTTGGTATTTCTGGTCTTTGAATCCAATTTGTTTGAACTTTTTACTTACTAAGGTTGTGTAAGTTCACTCATAAAATGTTGCATCATCATCATGCTGACCATATTCATATTAGGAGGTAGAAACAACATGGAATGAATTTTGTTACAGTAAAGTATTATGGAATATATTTTTTCCCCTTCCTTTTTTGACTTTTCTTTAGACCCAATTGTCCATTTTGTTTTACCCCGGCGATTGTGATTCGGCTTTGGACGTCGAATTCCAGCTACAAGTTAAGGCTCTTTAATTACGGGGTTGTTATTTTTACATGTTTCGAAAACAGAAAAAAAAAAAAAAAAAATCCAAGAATGCCGTAGAGGCCATGCCAAGAGTGACCATCTCTCACTCTCACGACCGAAACTGCTGTATCTGCTTCCAAGAGTTCAAGGTCGGTGAGGAAGCCCCAAAGGTGCCTTGTAGTTGCAAGGGCAGTTACTTCCACCCGCTTTGCCTCCAGACCTGGCTTGGTCTAAATGCTTCATGCCCGTTGTGTAGGTTCCATGTTGAATTGATGCCTGATCAAGACAAGACCAAGACCAAGGATTAAGATCATCAACTAGACCAACAGCCTTAGAGCAACATCGATCCATATAGTATTTCTTCTTTTGTGCTGCAAATTTTTTGATCCATCTCTCTTATGTAATCATCATATGTACACGTACATTATTTTCATATGACCAAATATGTTAACTGGAGCAAAATAAATTTGGAAAATTTGTAAATCATCAATGAAATATAAAGCAAAAGGCAGAGAATGGTGAAACATTCAAAATACCATAAAATACCCTTGGTTAATTCAAACATTAAGAATTGAAATTATTAATTAAATGAGGATAATATGGTAATTCATATTTTTCATATTAAAAAAAAAAGAATTAGAAACAAAATCAGATAATAAGTTCTACTTTTATGGAACATAATTACCCATGTTATCTTTTCTTAATTCTGAAAATAAAAGAAAAAAGAAAAAAGAAAACCAATTGGCACAAAGGGGCTAGTCATCAATGAAACGCAAACAAATCCTGTGCGCAAACGCTTTAAAAATTTAAAAAAAAATAACTTCATGAGGAACTATCTGGAAAGATTTCCTGTTTCAGAACAAACACCACATGCTACCTGAGGTTTCTTTCTTTTTCTTTTTTCATATGGTATCAATAACTCCATATAAACAAGATGAGTTGATCCCTGCGTCTGGCTTAGCCTCTCACTTGGATTGGTTCTAACGTGTGCTGTTACTTTCCAAAACCACTACCTAGGCCTGGGCGTGTGTATTGATAAATTAGCTTGAAAAACAAATTAGTTGATGAAACCACTCAGAAATAGGTAAACTGAGAAAAAGAACCCAGAAAATACCAATTACCGAGTCATTTTATGCTTTTTATGCGTTGCATTTGCCTTAAAACTGAAATTCGATTTTCAAGTCTGATTCCTTACACAAAATCTGGAGGGGCAAATATCAATTTAGCATTCTGTAACATGACCATTTTGTCAATGATTCTCAAATGGGATGGGGTCAAATTAGCAATAGCAGCTAGTTAAATGAGCTAATCCACAAACCGAAGATTACGTACGATTAGCTAATAGAGGAAAGCTCTGGCTGATTACACAGGTAATTACATCAATAGGCACAGCAGTACAAAACAATTGTTTCCTGTTTCAGAACAAACACCACATGCTACCTGAGCTTTCTTTTTTTGGGGGTCATAACATACAACCTGCTGAGCTAATATAACATTCAAAATCTAGATTCCTCCAAGTGCCATTTACCACTGTGTCCATGTAAAGGAGTACAAAGTGTCAATCATCATCTTCATCATCCTCCTCTTCCTCATCCTCCACCTCCTCTTCTTCCTCCTCTTCCGGGGGCTGCCCCTCCTATGAAGAAACAAGATATGCATGCTTGCATCATAACTAGCGATGGAAAAGTTAGAATGAACTAGGAATAGCACATGATACATACAAATACAAACCACAATCACTGCATTCTACATCACAACTCAGTTCCTAAATTATGCTTAGCTCATGGTTGGAACTGTAGCGACTGACCACAAAATCATGTCTAGCAATACGCTCTTCATACTTCTTACTCTCTTTTACTTTTCAATTTTTTTTTTCAAATACTTCCTACTTATTTTGACACTTCATCAGGTTTCTACAAAGACAGAAGCATCTATTGATTACATTCTAGTCAATGCCATTTAGAGTGAATATAGAAAGGGACTACCTCCCCACTAGCCTCGTCCTCTTCATCATTTACCTCAGATCTTGACCTCTCTGACTCTTCATCACCATCATCTGCCCCACTCTCCTGTGAATAAAATAAAGGTGAAAAATTAATAGCAATCAAAAAATGTATCAAGCCAACACCAAATACTTCTTCTAAGTAGAAGGCGAGGCTAGCCTCTAGACACACATGAGTACACCCACCTGCTTTTTGTTGTAGGCTTTCATCTGCTTTTCATACTCAGCCTTCCTTTTTGCAGCCTTGGCTTCATATGGAGCTTTTTCCTTTCCAACAATGGTGAGAAATACAGGTAAGCGATACATGGTACAAACTTCACAAGAATCAAGTAGATATTAAAACTCGATTTTGACTAACATAAACCATGTATGTCTTTTTAAAATGAAAGCAAAAATACAGAAGTTGTATCCACAAACGAATGAACTTGTTGAAGGCATATCAAATGAGTCATTCCCAAAGTGGAAAACAGTTCCACAATGCAAACAAAAAAACAATTAATATAGAATACATACCGCATCAGACAGGGATTTCCACTTGTCTCCTCCAGCTTTTCCAACCTTCAGATGCAGAATACAATTAACAAGTTAATTCTTTTCATCATATAGGACAAGGATCCTACATCCATTTACATAAGGAGAAGCCATCGATTACTTACAGCTGCTACACCCTTCACATTGGGGTTCTCTTTCTTGAACTCCTTCCTGAACTCCTCACTGTAACATAAACGTATCATGATTCAGATAAATCTTCACGATACAACATTTGGTTGTTCACACTAAGTAAAGTATTGAGAAGCAGATACAAACAGGAACACGAAAAAGGCACTAGGCGGCCTCTTAGGTTTGTTGGGGTCTTTCTTGGCCCTTTTCTCCTTCCTGGCCTTTCGTTTGCTACTCTTGTCATCTGCAGCAGCAGCCTTCCGCTTCCCAACCCTTCTGAAAATAATAGAGATATACAATACATCACTATCATACAAATGCAGACATGTATTACACCATTGAGTATGTAACATCAGTAGAACAAGTGACCACAACAATGGCCATGAAACTAACACCTTAAAAGAGAGAACTTTTGCAGGACAAACTCTTTAGAGAATCATTGCACCCCAAAAACAACATAAATGCAAGAATTGTATGCAACTGAAACATAAAAGGCTAACTAACCCATCATCCACAGGCTTTAGAGCTTCCTTGGAGATCTTTGCTGCCCCCTTACCTTTGGCAGCCCTCATTGTTACAAGATCAGTGTCTGCACAAGATTAGCAATTCAAATCATATTTCCAATCTTACACAGGACATGTCATCTAATCTTAGCTCAAGCAATCAGGGCAAGAACCAAATATTCCAATCATACAAGTCAACGCCCGCACACATATAGCAGGAAATTTAATCATAATAATTATTAATAATTACAATTATAATTATAATTATAATTAGGATACAGTTATAATTATAATTACATTATTTATTGTTATTAAACACCCCCCCAAACCCCCTTCCCACCACCACCACCACCCCAAAAAATAACTAGAATATTCAAAAAGGAAAAAGCAAACTATTCCTATGTGCAACTTAATTGGCCAAACTTCACCACCACTAATAGTTTATGATTGAAAGAAAAAAATAAAAATAAAAACTATTTTTATACCTTCTCTTAGTTTCCTCAATTTTCTCAGCAGCCAAACAGAAGTTATAAAAAAGAAAAACAGATCCAGAAAAGAGCGTTACCTTTAAGAGACGGAATCGGCCGGCAATTCCACCACGAAAAATACCAAAAACCGAAGAGAGAAAGAGAATCAAAAGATAGCGAAAACCAAAGCTTCGAGAGAAATAGAAAAACAGCGGAAAATTTAGTAGAACCAGAGAGAATTGGGAACTTGATAAAAGTGACCGGACCAGCCGGTATACTTGTAATAGTTTACCGCCGCACGAGTCAGCGGCGAGAATTTGCTTTTACCGGTACACCCGGTTTCCAAGGTTCTAGAACCAGAAATTTAAATAATTTTTTCTTTTGCTTTTGAAATTTTAACACGACAAAATCAACGGGAAGTTTTTAATTTTGGGAGTGGGGCAGTGCCGCGATGCATAGTATACCGATGATTGCCGCCAAGTTATCCCATACAGGCAACGACAAGGTATATATCTTGTGGCACCCCTCGCTAGCCGACACGTGTGGGCTTAGCAAGCCATGTCATGTTCCAACTTTCGACTTGAGACTTGGAGGAGTTTGTGAGTTTGAGTTGACTCGAGTCTTCTGGGATCAGATGCCGGGCCCTAGTTATTACCACAAGCCCAACTTTTGGGCCTGAACTAGCTGTTACGAACAAGTATCCCATTAACATCAATATAGTCTAAGTTCTTCGTTAGGGTCTAATTATTGATTGTCTAATCTTCTGGGATTAGTAGGTTGGACTAAGGATTGGGAAAACCCATCTCACATAAATAAGCAAGGGACTATTCGCTTGAAATATAAGAAATAAACTGAGGAAGTGCCAAGCCAACCACAAGAAAACCCAATTAGATTTTTATGGTATTTGCAACTTCAACCACAAGAAGTGACACGATGATACACTTTCCAGGACAAAGGATACAGTCCCTTGGGGTCAATTTCCGAGACCCCACAAACACCACCATCAGGATAAGGCAAAGATAAGGTCGAGACCCTCACTGCCGTCAGATGGATCCTCTTCCCAATCCAACGTCCACAAACCCGCCCCGCGGATAATCCATTTGAGCCCGATAAAATACTTCACTTCCCTCCCCGAATAAAAATCCAATCAAATTCTTCCATACCACTTAAACACACATTGCAATCTCGACCTCCCGGTGCACGTTAGCCCAGAGCCATGGCCACCACCGCAGGCGCCGCCGCTACATCCTCATTCATCGGGACGCGTTTTCCGGACGTGTACTCGAACTCGGGTCGGGTCCAGGCCCGGTTCGGATTCGGGACCAAGAAACCCAAGAAGGCCTCGAAGTCCACTTTCTCTACCGACCGACCGCTTTGGTACCCGGGAGCCAAGGCCCCGGAATGGCTGGACGGGAGCTTGGTGGGCGACTACGGGTTCGACCCCTTCGGGTTGGGCAAACCCGCGGAGTATCTCCAGTACGACTACGACGGGCTGGACCAGAACCTGGCCAAGAACTTGGCGGGTGATGTTATCGGGACCCGAACCGAAACCGCGGATGTCCAGTCGACGCCGTTTCAGCCCTACAATGAAGTTTTTGGGTTGCAGAGGTTTCGCGAGTGCGAGCTCATCCATGGCCGCTGGGCCATGCTCGCCACTCTCGGTGCTCTCACTGTTGAGTCGCTCACTGGGATCACATGGCAAGACGCAGGGAAGGTACGATTTATTTTAAAAGTTCAAGTTCAAACCCGCAGTTTAAGACTAGGAGTTCATAGGTTTTTTGGTGGGAATTGTTCATAATTTCTGTCGGTCCAAGTGCACATTTTGGTAATGGCCTAAAATCACAGTCCCGTTAATTATGTTGACGTATTTGTACAGGTGGAGCTTATCGAAGGGTCATCTTACTTGGGGCAGCCACTGCCGTTTTCTATAACCACATTGATCTGGATCGAGGTTTTGGTGATCGGGTACATCGAGTTCCAGAGGAACGCTGAGCTCGACCCGGAAAAGAGGCTGTACCCGGGTGGCAAGTTCTTTGACCCGTTGGGCCTGGCTTCGGACCCAGAAAAGAAGGCTACTCTTCAATTGGCTGAAATCAAGCACGCCCGTCTCGCCATGATCGGGTTTCTTGGGTTTGCTGTGCAGGCTGCTGTCACTGGAAAGGGTCCACTTAACAACTGGGCTACCCATTTGAGTGACCCGCTCCACACTACCATTATTGACACCTTCACCTCTTCTTGAGTACCTGTTTTCTATGTGCATATCATGTTGGGTTTTGAATTTGTAGAATTCAAAATTGTGTACGTTAATTACTTAGCTTAATCATGATTTGCACTGCTTAATGTTGTAAAGTTTGTAATGCGATCAAAAGATTACTATATGCAAGAGCATGTGAGCTTTTCCTGCTTTCCAGAATGTGAAACAATTTATCTCGAGTTAAAGTCGTTGGGGTAAAGCTTAGGTGGTGAGGGAGAATGAAATAATGATTGAAGATGGATCGAAAATTCGAATCTCTCCATCCAATGTAACTATATATAGATATCTTGAGTACAAAACTTTGATGGATAACCCAAAAAAAGATATCCAAATCCGATGCCCGTTAAGCCTAGTTATTTATACATATTATAAGATTCAGGTTTCCTCACACAACTGTGTTGAGGTTTTCTTCTCTATTTATATACATGATTTTACAGTTACAAATATTCAAAAAATTGAGCTGTTACATATCAAGAGCGGTTGTGATAAGCTGAGGATATGTATCCATTTGGTTTGGATATTTTGTTTTCCATTATGTCTGAATAGTTTTAATTTTTTGGGGCTGAGGATATCATAACCTCTCTCGGTATGGAGTCATTATTATTATTATTTTTTTTTTAAGGGAAAAAAAAGGTACGAGGTTATTATCAAAAAGAGTCACGATATTTCAATTTCATCAATTTATACTCAATAAGGGTTTTTTTGCTTTCTTTTAAATTTGTTAAAACCATTTAAAACCAATTTTAAAAAATAATGAAAGTATCTGTAGTTTGGGTGTTGAAAAAAAAAATCATTTAAAAAAGAACAGCCAAACTACAAAACCATCTGATGTGTGAATTGGGCTTCCAATTACCACTTTTGGAACTTCAACGGCCCAAATCGGCAAATTCAAATTCCTTGAGCAAAAAGTATCTGTCAGGTATATCTCAAAAGCCGACATATATTCGATTCGATACTTGCTTCTCCACCTCCCCCAAATCACGAGGGCCAACGACGGCACGCGACCTCCGACTCCCGCCTTATCTCCATTGACAAGGTTCCCACCGGCGAAGGAGCCTTTTCCGACAGCTAATCTAAAACTTTAACTGGTAAACTCTACTCCAATAGTAACCTTCTCTCTTTCTCTCTCGTCCATCAAGTCTACAAGGTGTTTGATTATTTGTCTCTGAGAGATTGGGTAGCGTATTTGCTCGTCTAAATCTTTTTGACGTTTATCGGCATTGCACATTCAGTCTATATCACAGACTTAGAAAGTTGTAGTTTGCTTCATGCGCCATAATTGCTAGATGTGCTGTCAAAAACCTCTGCTTCTGCCTTTTTGTTTGTCAATTTAATCTATGAACTGTCTCTTTTTTGTATAGTGAAATTGATGGTAGTTGTTACAGATGGTTCCATTTTGCTACTGAAATGTGATTATTTGCTGAAAAACTCGGACATGGGAACTCGGAGTGCGTTGTGGAGTTTTGCCAACAAGTTTTTCACATGTGGGGTCATAGGTGTCTATGTTTCAGATCGATTTGTGGGTGTTGCTCCGGTGCGCGGTTCCTCTATGTCGCCTACGTTAAATCCTGGAACTACTTCTTTAATGGGCTTGCCAATTGGTTTGTATATTGAGAGATACCTCAAACAAATTGTTGTTCTGTGCATTGTGATGGTGCTTATTTAGTGGTGTGGTTGCAGATGACTATGTTTTGGTGGAGAAACGGTGTCTTCAAAACTACAAGTTTTCACATGGTGACGTGGTTGTTTTCAGGTAATTTTTGCCCCCAATGCAGATCGAATACCATTTATGCATGGTGAATTATAAGAAGCAATTAGGCTTGTTGGAACCTTTTGCAGTTCCCCAAGCAATCACAAGGAGAGGCACATAAAGAGAATAACTGCATTACCTGGTGAGTGGATTGGAACTCGTCATTCCTATGATGTGCTGAAAATTCCAGAAGGACATTGTTGGGTTGAGGGAGACAACTCATCTTCTAGCTTGGATTCAAGATCGTTTGGCCCAGTAAGTTTCCCTTTTGTGCACTAACAACAAGTAGTTTAATGATATCATAACTTATCATTATGATCATCATTATTGATTGTGTCGCCGAGGATGTGGAACCATACACTAACTACTAGATATTTGAATTTTCTTAGTTTATGTCAAATAACTCTGCTTGTGTATGTATTATTCAGAAAATTTATAACGTGGAGTAGGAAGTAAATCATTTTTCTATTACTTTACCTTCTGGCTCCAAAATGAGATTATTTGTACATGATAAAATTCAAATGCTATATAGATAATTAGTTTGGCATGGCACAAAAGTTGTCATTTTGAAAAAAAGTTGGCAACTTGAGCTTATGCTAGCTGCTTTTGTTGTCATTTGGAAACATCTGTAGAATCTAAGTAATGTTTGAAGTACACTGGGCTTTTCTTTCAGAAGTTTCTTTTGAACATTCTTAACTTTACGTATTTGATAGTAAGCATGCAGCTTGTGCTGGTGACTTAGCTAAATGCATCAGATCATATTGCAAATGTGGCTAACTTAGGCTGTCTTCTATATTTCCGACACTTTAGCTAAGTTAGACAAGCTGTTTGTTGGCAGATTCCTCTGGGTCTAGTTCAAGGAAGGGTTACCCACATTGCGTGGCCTCCTCAGAGAATTGGCGCTGTTGAGAAAAGAACACCCCAAGACACAATTTCTTCTTCATAGTTGGACATCACTTGCGGATCCCATTTTTTCAAAGGGAAAACATACTTCTTTGTAGACTCCTTATATTTTTTACCATATGTCATGGCAGCACCATCTGATTGGATTTTGTTTGTCAAGGAAAATCAAATTATGAATCTTGCAACTTCTGACTCTCCTAGAGGTGCATTCATCAGTTCTTCATCATCGCATACAACTAGCAACAGAGGTCCAGGATAATCAAGTTTCTTTGTTTTAGCTCTATTATGGTTTTAAATTTTAGTTATTTTTATGTGCACCTTTGCCTATTGATCATGAAACTAACAAGAATGCACTTTCTGATTCAAGAGATGCACACAATTCACTATGAGCTATTTTTCTGTCACTTGCTTTTGGCCAATGGAAAGAGAGAAGAGAACAAAAAAAGTTGCCATGGCTAGTTGGATTGGATGTATAACAAACAATCCCACCAGGCTGGTTAATGGCTTACATGAAATCAGGGAATAAAAAAAAAAGATAAGGCTTTCCCAAACATATGAAAGTGTGAGTCAATAGAGATGTCTTCTTAATGGCAGAGAGCCTCTCCTCTCCTATCGAAATGGGTTTCTTTGCTTGGTCTAGTCAGTAATGTGAAACGTTTATTGTGTCCTTTGGCACCTTCTTGGAATTAGTCTCATGTCCGCTCATGGCATGTCCATAGCTAAAAAGAATGAGTTTTTCTTCGCAATTGAACCTTGGGTTTTTCTTCGCACTGTCTCTTCGCTTTTACAGCTATAAGTTTTCATAAAAAAAATAAGAAAAAGAAAAAGAAGCTCCAATCCCTCTCGCACTGTGTGTTTTTACCCCATCGGCGACAAAATTTTATTTTATTTTTTTTCCCCGCCAAATAAAGGTACTTTTTCTTTTGTAAAATTTCTAAACTTGTGCAAAGTATATCAAAATTCAAACTTCTCTACATTAATGAAAGTAAAATATTATGGAGGTCGCAATAAAGAAATGATCAATTTTTCTTGTGAGAGAATTTAAAATTTATGTTGTCATACCGTGACTTAAGAACATTATTTGACTATGAATCAAGATCATTGACATAATCTCTAGATTCACAATGTGATAAATAATACCTCTTCATTCATTCTTAATTACTCTAATGAGGATCGGAGACTATAGAGCACTTACGAACCAACTAAGCAATCCCACAACATAATCTCCACAAACCTTGCCCAACAAGTAGATATTTACCTTGTATTTATTTTTTGTTTCAGTTTTAGTCTTTCAAAATTTTATCAGACCTCTAATTTTGTACTAAAATTTTGGTATTTTTAATTATATGTTTTACTTTTTTTTTTTGGTTGGGTAAAATGTTTTACTTTAAAAATATAAAAGAAAAAGAAGAAGAAAATAGAAATTGAAATGAAAATAAAAAAAAAATAAAAAAAAGGTGCCTCTATTGCAGTTTGCAGTTGTACTCGGAAAGGACTTCTCTGTTTAAAGCGGGCAGACCCTCGTCCCAACTCAATGGAAGGTTTCGTTGCTATTCTACTCCCTCTGTAACTACTGGTAAAGATCAGATAAAACCCAGAATGCGTCATCGTTCTGCTCTTCTTCATATCATAAAATTATACATGTCTGCATTGTAAAGCATGTCCCTTTTTGCGTTTTTCATTTGCAAGTTTAAAATAATTTCGAAATTCTCAAATTTCTGTTTAATTTGATTTCTGGGTTTTGTTTGGTATGCTCATTTCTCTTATATGGTTGCCGATCTTGGTGTTTTTCTAGGAAAATAAATTAAGAAAGCTAGAGGTGTAGAGTGACGACATGGGAAGGCTGTTTGCGATCAGTCTTGAAGGAAACATCTACAGCTGCAAGCACTGCAAAACCCATCTTGCTCTTGTTGATGACATACTCTCTAAGGTCTGAAATCATCTGCCCCATAACTCAAATTTTTTTCTTTCAGTTTTACTGTTTATTGCATGTGTAGTCCACCTATACATTCATGAACTCTATGATGCATTGTTATGATAGGATATCTAAAATTGTGTGGCAATTTTTTTATGTGAAATTTATTGGTGGTATGGCATTCAAAGAATTTAGTTTGTGTGGGTTTATTATGCTAAGTCCCAGTAACTGATAAGTCTGTCAATGAAAGGGAAGCAACTTAAGGGGCTCTGTCCATAAGATATTGAGGAGGTACTGTTTTGGGTTAACCTGGATATGCATCTTGTCTCATTGCGGTCAAATGGGACTTCAGATTTTTGTGGTTGTTTTGTTATACCATAACACATAGTGATGGGTCATGTTCAAACTACTTGAGGTTGGGAAACTCAAACATTGGGTTGTTTCTAGGTTTCTTCTCGTATTTTTTTGCTGGGCTTCTTTTCCAAATTAGGTTTATTGCTCATCACAATCAACATTTGCTGCATGTGAAATGGCCTATATGCTTGATGACTGGATATGAAAAATGCTCAAGATTTAGAATCTTCATCAGTAAAACTATTATGATGATGCTCTAGGTTTAAACTATGCCTATCTAGAAACACGATGGTGGGATTACTTGCTGGAGAGAAGAATTCACATTCAGGATCTCCTGCTAAATTCAGGTCCAAGAAATCTATTCTACACTTTTCCTGGGTTAATTGTTAATTCCGGCTGGAGGGTGAGATAGGTGTGGTGTCTCTGTTCTCTAAGGTCTAACTCTAGACCAAAATGTTGTCCCAGTTATTTGCATTATTGTTGGTTTGAACTTTGACCATATGGAGACTAAAATGGTTCAGTTTGCTAGCTCTTTAAATATTGATTTCCCCACTTCAATGTCGCTTAAGTTCTGTTTAACTGTAAGTAGCTTGAATATCTCGATAAAGATATAATATTGCAATCTGAAACTTATTGTAGAAAGCTATATTTACGTGTCCTGTTTATGTGGAGGCCCCAGGACTTTTCTCTTGTCCTGTCATGAGTCATGACATATCAAATGATATTTTTCCACTTCTTGCTTGATGCTTATAAACATTGTTCTCCTTTTCTTTTATGTCTATGTTTGATATCGGGAATGATTAGCAACATTCTAACCCTCTGATTTTGTTTTGTTCCAGTCGTTTCACAGCAGACATGGAAAGGCTTATCTTTTTCATAACGTGTAAGTGTAATTACTGTTGAAATCGATTCTGTCAAAGCTTGCATGCTTGTGTGTGTACTCATAAGGTCACGGGCATGTGAGTTTATATTGGTCTCACTTGCCCCAAAACTCCTAGTCATGCTATGTGCACATGCTGCTTCTTGGTCCACCAAGCTAATGGAATGAGTTGTATCTGCAATTGAAACATGGTCTGATGTAGGCTAGAGAATACATTCCCATTGATGAATTTTGAAAGCTTAACTTTTGAGGATGAAAAAAGGGGGGGGGTAAATAGAATCCAGTGACAGTGTACGAATTCATCTTATGAATGTTGTTCTCCCAGATTTCACTAAATAACTTCCTGGCTATGTGATGGGTGATGTGGATTATCTCAAACGCATTTCCATTCACTTGAATCCTACCAAGGGTGCATAACTCACATCATATGCAGCTTGCACATGTGAATGCTGAATTGACCTTTTAATTTCCTCAATGTATGGCAGTGTTAATGTCACACTTGGAGAGAAAGAAGAGCGGATCATGATTACCGGATTACATACTGTTGCTGACATATTTTGTGTTTCATGTGGCTCAATGGTGGGGTGGAGATACGTAAGATCTTTTCCTCAAAACTATGTTTTTTGATATTTGCAGTACTTTCATCAATACGATCGCTGTATGGAACTCTTTTTTCGGCTATCAATTTTAGGAGGCTGCACAGGAGAAAAGCCAGAAGTACAAGGAAGGGAAATTTATCCTTGAGAGGTAAAACCAAACTGATGTCTTTGGTCGCTGCATTAAAAATTTTGGAGTGAATTTTCTTTTGTTGCTGAGCAGATTCCAGATACTTGGTCCTGATGGAAGCAACTACTCGATAGCTCTGGAAGCTCAGATTGGTGGAAGCGATGCTGATGATGCTTGATTGATCAAACATTCAGGAAATTGCACGTAGTTAAAATGTATATTCTTTGCTACCACGTTTTTCTTTATTGAGTCTTCACATTTCGGTTAATTTTTTCTTAATCGATGATGTAATCTAAGATCCTAGGTTCTTTCTATTGTCATATTATGCAAATTGTTTCAGAACATGGTCATTTTTGAAGAGCAATAAAGTTGCTCATCAAGTTCTTGAAAAAGAAAGAAAATGTTGTGTACTTCCAATTTGCTATGGTTCTTGGCTGCAATCTTCAATTGACTCTTGAAAAGGTCGCAGATGGAGCCCTTTGGCATAGACAAAATTATATACTTAGATATGAAATCAAGTTTTCTTGGATTGCTGGAGATGTTCTTGTTGTGTTTTTAAATGTATCGTTTTTATCTCGTCTCATGTCACTTGAGTTAAAAGTTCATTTGAAATTACATTTATTCAACAAAATGATTAAAATTATTTCATGTCGAATGAATTACTTAGAAGTAAATAATTTTAGAATTACTTTACATTATTTCATCAAATTTGCTCGACCAACACACTGTGTTACTCATATTTTTTTTATAAAAAAAACACACCGTGTTACATCAAATTATTTGCTGGATAAAATGAATTTAATGAACAAAATAAGTGGTCAACAAATTGAGATTAGTAGTAAATACTGAAAATTGAAATCGGAATTTTGAATATCTCCATTTCTATAGCCATTAGCTGAGGGGCCCTAGTATATGAAAACTCAGCTAATTCAAGCACTCGCGCCACAGCTTCTGTCGTCATCAACCTCGTTACTTTCACTTCGTCCGTCTCGCTACCAAACCAAAGCACCTTCATTCTGGTTTTGCTCTTTTTTTTTTTTGCAGAAACCCAAAAATGAAATCTTCGCTCAATTCCTCGCCACTTCCTTCACTACGTCGCCTCTCTTTCTTAAACCCTAAATTCCTCTCTTCACAAACCCAATTTCCTAAGCCCCATTTAGAATCACCATTGTCGGAGAATCCCAATCCGAGTACCAATTCTTCCCAGTCAGTCACTTCAAAATCTGATATTCCTGAGAAAGCCACATCAGAAATCGATTTTCACGAAAACCCATTTGGACGAGACTCGGAACTAACACAAACCAAGGTGATAAGCACTCTCCTAAGCCACAGGAGTGAACCAAATTCGGCACTGGAGCACTTCATGTGGGCTGAAAAAGAGCGAGGCTTTCTTAAAGGTGTCGATGCGTTTTGTGTGTTGCTGCACATTTTGACTGGCTTTGAAGAGACTCGTGTGCGTGCTCAAATCTTGCTTAACCAGTACGCTTCCGGTGATTCAGGCCCTGCTCCGCAAGTCTTTTTCGACCGCTTGGTAGACTGCGCTAAAAGGTTTGATTTTGAATTAGAATCTCGGGTTTTTAGCTACTTATTGAAAAGTTATGTTAGAGCCAATCGAATCAACTATGCGATTGATTGCTTTGATAGAATGATAGAGCTTGAGTTGTATCCTTGTGTTACGTGTATGAATATTCTTTTGGCAGAATTGGTTAGGAGAAAAATGATTGGGAATGCACGGGAGTTGTATGGTAAAATGGTTTTGAGAGGAATGGGAGGTGATCGTGGCACTCTGCATGTGATGATGCTTGCTTGCTTGAAAGAGGGGAAACCAAATAAGGCAGAGGAGTACTTTAGAGAGGCGAGGGCAAGAGGGATAGAACTTGATGCAGCATCCCATGGTATTGCTATTCAGGCTGCCTGTAGCAAACCCAATTTACATTTGGCTGTGGAGTTGTTGAAGGAAATGAGAGAAATGGGGTGGGTTCCTTCCGTGGGTACGTTTACTAGCATCATCAAGGCTTGTGTAAAGCAAGGGAATATGAGTGAAGCCCTAAGGATTAAGGATGAAATGGTAAGTTGTGGGCACTCAATTAATTTGGTTGTTGCAACAAGCTTAATGAAGGGTTATTGTGTGCAAGGGAATTTGGAGAGTGCTTTGGATTTGTTCAATATAATTATAGAGGATGGACTTAGTCCAGAGAGGGTTATGTATGCAGTTCTTATAGAATACTGCTGTCATAATGGGAATATGGAAAAGGCTTATGAGCTTTACATCCAGATGAAAAATATGGATATTTTGCCTAATGTCTTCATTGTAAATGATTTGGTGCGTGGATTTTTGAAATATCGGTCACTGGAAGATGCGTGTAAGTTGTTTGATGAGGCAGTTGAGTGTGGCGTTGATAATGTTTTCTTGTATAATAATCTCTTATCATGGCTTTGTGGGGAGGGTAAAGTAAGTGAAGCTTGTAGTTTATGGGATAAGATGGTGTGTAACGGTGTGGTACCTAATCTAGTATCCTACAACAGCATGATACATGGCTATTGCAGAATAGGGAATATGGAACGTGCACACAGTGTATTTTTGGAGATGCTTGAAAGAGGTTTGAAACCTAATGTCTTCACTTACTCTATTTTGATAAAGGGCTATTTCAGGAAAGGTGATATAAAGCGTGCCCTTGATGTCTTTAACAATATGGTGGCTGCAAAGATAACCCCCACAGAATTCACAGTTAACATTGTCATTGATGGCTTGTGCAAAGCTGGTCGTACATCTGAGGCAAGTGATAGGCTAAATAAAATTGTTGAGAGGGGTTTCGTTCCTGGATGTATGAGTTACAATAATATTATAGATGGGTTTGTCAAGGAGGGTGCCATGAATTCCGCACTGGCTGTATATAGAGAAATGTGTGAAGGTGGAGTCTCCCCAAATGTTGTCACTTACACCAGCTTTGTTAATGGGTTTTGCAAAAGCAATCAAATTGATCTTGCTTTGCAAATGTGGAATGATATGAAAAAGAAGGGTATTGAATTGGATGTTACTGCATATTGTGCCCTCATTGATGGCTTTTGCAAAAGGCGAGACATGGGAACTGCCCGTAAACTTTTCTCAGAACTCCTTGAAGTTGGTTTATCTCCAAATACAGCTGTTTACAGTAGCATGATTTGGGGCTTCCAGAATTTAAATAACATGGAAGCGGCTCTTGACTTGCACAAGAAAATGATAAGTGAAGGTATTCCCTGTGATTTGAAAGCATACACTACACTAATCAATGGATTGCTAAAAAGGGGTGAGTTACAAGTTGCAACAGATCTCTACTCAGAGATGCTTCAGAAGAAAATTGTACCTGATATCAAGACATATACAGTTCTGATAAATGGCCTTTGTAACAAAGGACAGCTAGAGAATGCACGCAAGAACTTGGAAGACATGAATAAGAGGAGTAGGACTCCTAGTGTTCATATTTATAGTACTTTGATTGCTGGGAACTTCAAGGAGGGGAATTTGCAAGAGGCTTTTAGGTTGCATGATGAGATGCTTGACAGAGGCCTTGTACCTGATGACGTTACTTATGATATTCTTGTAAACGGAAAGTTCGAAGGAGCAAATGCTCTTGTTGGAACTTCATGTGCCTAGATTTTTTTGGTTATTGTTTCAACATGCTTCAGGCCTTTGTTTGTTTCTCAGGTGAGAAATGTATTATCATCTGGACTATTGATTGTTGGAAGTCTTTCACATTTCCCTGGGAAAATATGTGCCAGATTTGACTTTTATGTTTATAACAACCTCATAATTTTTTTTTTCTCTTCATAAGAATCATAACCTACAATAAGGCATCTCTGTATTGTGCAGCATGTCCCTTTTCAAGCACAGGGTGGTGAATTCAAAGTTATGCTTCAGATTCAGATGTGAGGTGAGTTCTAAGGCGTTAGTGCATGCACTATGGTTTGGACATATGGGAGATAGCACCTTTTGCTGATGCCCTTTCCGAAGATGTTGTGGCATCGTTATAGATTTATTGGGGCAGGTGTGGTGTGTCTTGTCTGAGGAGGAGCTTTGTCAGTTCCCATTCATCAGCTGGTATTTTTGAGGTGAAAGGAACAATGTTCTGCATGATCAGAATCCTCAGGGGACTTGCTATTCTTCTCCAGTGTGCCATGAATATTTAGGGTGACTGCTTTCATGCTTGCCATTCTCCCTCTCCCCCATATCCAGATCACATTGCCAGTGGAGAATCCCCACCCTTCGGGGTCATTAAACTGAACACCGATGCAGTGCCTCTTCGGGGTTGAGAGGTGTTGGAGCAGTGGTTCTCCAACGGCGAGTTGATGGACGCTCTCCCTAGAAAAATCAACTGAGTGTTTGGCTCTTGCGACAAAGTTGATGGCTATCCATGCAGGTTTCCAAAATAGTGAGCATTTTGTTTTTCTAGTTAGAAAAGAGCCCGAGTGGCTATATTCATCTGTATATGAAATCATCTTCCTGTAACTGTTGCCTGTTGTAGTTAATAAAAGTCCAAAGTTGCTTATAATAAAAAATGTATTGTTGCTGATCTTTTTTATTTTGTGTGGAATTTTATTGTCTGTGAATTGGAAGAACAAACAAAAGCAATACAAGCAGAAGCAATTATGGTGGCGATTATGCAATTATGGTGGTGATTGTCTACCACTCTCAATTATTGTTCTTATTCCTGCAGCTAGAAATGCTTTATATTCTCAGAACTGTCACCGTCCTTGTCTTATTATCCCTTTGGCTGGCATGGCACTGATTGCTCGGGCCATCATGATGGCTTTGACTTGAGGAAGAAGGGCAGAGAAACATGGGACTCAAACATGGAGCGTGGCACATGGCTTACGTCTCACAAACTTCCACCCAACATACCATAAGCGATCCAAACATGTATTTCTACCGCATCCAAAATGTTGATTTTTATGTTTTCTAGATTTTCTATGTTCCAAGAACCTCCTTTGGGGTTGTGTTCTTTCTCTTTGTATCTTGTATTTGCTATATTTATCAACGAAATTTACAGTTTCACAGAAAAGTTTGGTTTTTATTCTATTTTTTTTTATAATACAAGCAATAATTGAAACTAGAAAAGAAAGAGGGTTTCATTACAATCTAGCGGGCATATAAAAATAACCCATTAAAAAAAAATTACCATATCCTCAGCGGCAATTAAGCAAGTATTAAACAATCAGAAAACTTTTGGGGAAAAAGTACAATAAACAAAAACTTTGGGAGTAAATTTTAGCTGGATTAAAAGCTATGGGGTCATATCATTTGATCCTTTTCAGGTTGGGCTTTGTTTGGGCCATAGGTTATTCGCCAATCACCATAATCCTCAATCTAATTGGGGCCCACGGACCGCATTTTTGAGGCAGATGCCAAAATTTAAACCACACGATTCACGAGGCAGGCCCACGCCATGCAGGACCCTTTTAAATTCGCCGACCAACAACAGCCGTCCGATGATGAGTAGGTCATCTCGAGAAATCCAACAGCCCACGTTTAAAAATGGGCATCTTTTGAACGCCAAAGTTTGAATTAATTCCTCGGCGTTTCGAGACGACGAGTCACGAGTCAAACGCTCCAGGCTTCCAGCACGTGCCATTACGAATGGGAATGTTTCTCGCTCGCTTTAAATCTAATTTGTAAAATGGGCCTATTTTAGCACTTAATCACGAGATTGCCCCTCTTGTTTTCGTCATTAACTTCAAATCAATCTAATCTCTGAATAATTTTGGAGCTTCTTGTGCCTGTACTTCTTCCAAGCTACTCCATGGAAAATGGCGTGTGTATTTTAAGAATTGAAAATGTTATCTATAAGATTTTTTCTGTCTTTGCAAGCAATATGTATTTTATGCAAGTTTCCAATCTTTTATTGGTTTTGGATGGTGTATGATTAACGCAAATATAGGGGAGAAGCTTGAATTAATGCTTGTTTATCATCAATATTCAAAAGGGTATCAATCATTAGATAATCTAAAACATAGGTACGGTGGTTGAAGTTGTAGTTGAAATCTTCACATGAAACAATTGCAAATGAGAGTAATATTATTATATCAGTGAAACTTTCACATTTACGTAACATATCGAACTACTAATATATAATGTCATATTCATAATATATAACATAACATAATATAACTTAAACATGACATACTAATAGCATAAATATAACATATTAAATTTTAGTGATTACATATAATATCTTATAATTGATAATCTAACATGTTATATGTTAAATTGACTGTTTAAAACAAATATAACATGCCAAGTTTTAATTGGAATATGCTAGATTAACGAAGATAAAGCGGTAAACTGTGGGTTGGTTTCTTCAAAAAATTCTTATGGACGAACTAATTGAATGGTAGATTATTGGTTAGTCTCTTTAACTAATCCGAATCTTATAAAATGAACTAATAGAATGGTAAATGATCGACTGATTTCTTCAACTAACACGAGAATCTTATTAAAGGAAATCTAAGATTTCAATAACCTAAACATCATTTCTTTTCCAACATGAAACTTCACATTTCACATGCATCGTGAATTCGTGTAATACAGCTTTATCTTCACATGTCTACAGTTTATGAGGACGGCTAAAATGAAATCCCGAAAAAATGATTAGGAAAAAGCCACGTCTCTCGCAAAATCAGAAGCAATGGCACTCTCGTGGTTATCTCCACATCTCAGCCCATCCACACCATCTTCATAAATATTCCATTAAAATATTAATTTCCTGATGCTTTGTTTTTGTTTCAAAAATCTGAATGCTTCCAAAACAGAGAAGGCGACTCACTGGCTATGTCATTCTTGTCAAAGCAATCACAAAATAATACAAAAACCAGCACCTGAACTTCAGCTAAAAAAACTCACCCTGTCTCTCCCAAGCTCCTCAATTTCTCTCTTCTTCTTCTACTCTCTCTACCCTGCAATCTTTGTGTTACTGAGCTACAGAGACGACCATGGAAGTGAGCGTGGAGTCGAGGGCACGAGAACGAAGCTTCGGGAAGGTGGTGAATGTGAATGACAGAGATGAAGAGCTCGCTTTGTTTCTCGAGATGCGAAGGCGCGAGAAGGACAAGGAAAAAAATACCAACTTTCTCCTCCTTCCTAACAAGAACGCTGATGAGCTCGATGCTATTGCTGCGCCTCTTGGTACGTCGTCGTTTGGGCTCTTCTTGGTAGTTTCAAAAGTTTCGGTATTTGTTAGTTTTTTTGCTTGTTTGGGCATGATGGGTTGTGCTTACTTTGTGCAGATTCTGATAACCGTGGAGGTTCAGAGGTTTCTAGGATTGTTGGACCTGTGGCGCCGCAGAGAAAGAGCCGAGTGGATGAGTTTTTGAATTCGGAGAATGAGAAATCTGATTACGATTGGTGAGTATTAGTAAGTTCATGTCAAAGCTTAAATCATTGATGATATGTTTGTTTATAACTGATTGAGTAATTTGGCCGTCTGATTAGGATAAACCATCTAATAACTTGTAGAATTGATGAAGAAACTTGTTTGTAAAAGATGGGTTGCTAAATCAGGGGGTGTTCTGTTTCTAAGGACTGTATTTAAGAAAAGTTGATTAAGCCTGAATAGAGCAGGATTTCTTGTTCATTTTGTAGACTTTTATTTCTCACTCTAATCTCTATGCTTTGGTCTGGATTCTGGAATAATGATAATGTCATCTCACTTGTGGTATCGTAATGGGTAATCTCTTCTAATATCCAGGCTTCTTACACCCCCTGCTACCCCACTTTTTCCATCCTTGGATTCGGAAGCACTGAAAACTGCGATCAGTCAGACTGAGGTTCCTAATGACCATGTATCCGCTCCGAAATCTAGGGTAAGAACTCTAGACTCTAGTCAACCTGAGTTCTTAATATTTATAGGCCTGGTTTAATTTTCTGATATGTATGTGCAGCATTCCTACATTTGACTAATTGATCATAAAATGATGATCTTCTATTCATAAGACAATAAGATTTCAATGACTTGAATCTTCCCTAGCTTTTATGTCTGCCTAGTTAGAACTGCAGGTGTTCTATGAATTGTTTTGGGATTTTTGGTTTTACTTATCAAGTCATGAGTTGTAAATTTACATTGTCATGTTGTCAATAACTTGGGCTGCAGCTAGCAAACATCAAACCAGAACCTACTTCAAGGGGCAATATAGCATCTAAGCATCCAACATTGACATCTGGTCTGAATTCTTCCAGTATTGGTAACAGAAGGCCCTCATCATCTGGAGGGCCAGCAGCTGCTCCTCGTAGATCTGCTACACCAACTGGACGGTCCTCATTACCTTCATCAACCAAGCCCTCAAGATCCTCCACCCCAAATTCACGAGCCACCTTATCATCCGTTAAGCCCATGGCTCCTACAGTGAGGTCTTCAACTCCTTCTAGGTCCATTGCTCGTTCTTCTACACCAACTGCCAGACCTTCTGTACCAGCTTCCAAGTCAACATCAAGATCAGTAACACCAACCCATCGACCAAGTTCATCAATCGCACCTACCCTATCTGCTCCCCCTGGTCGATCTTCTTCAGCAACAAAGCTACGTCCCACAAGTTCAAAAAATCCCGTGCCATCACGTGGAAGTTCCCCAACAGTAAAACCTAGGCCTGTGAAATCATCTGAGATGCCTGGTTTCTCACTTGATGCTCCACCAAATTTAAGAACATCACTGCCACAAAGGCCAGCTTCAGCCTCTAGGGATCGGCCTGGACCACCAAGTTTTAGGTCATCTTCTGTTATAGCTGGTAATTCTAATGGAAAACCAAGACAGCCATCACCTTCTAGTGGACGGGCTTCATATGGTAGTGCCACTCCTAACGGGAACTCTCATCGAGTCATAAGCAGACCATCTTCCAAAGACAGTGATGATGTAAACCCTGTACTTATTGGAACACAAATGGTTGAGAGAGTAGTAAACTCGAGGAAACTGGCACCACCTAAGCAATATGACCACCACACTACTCAGAACAGTTCTGCTGGGAAGTCTCTGTCCTCTGAAAGCTCTGGCTTTGGAAGAAACCTTTCAAAGAAGTCCTTTGATATGGCTATGAGGCACATGGTATGCATCACTTTCCTTCTTCAAGTGCACATTGTTCACTTATAGCTAAGACCTTGTTCAGTGACCATAATGATATATGGGATAACATGCATAATGTTTGGCGTTCAGATCTTGCAATCCATTCAGTATTATCCAGCCTATGCTTGGTGTCCTTAACCAAAGAACTTTGATTTTCCGAAGCAATTTTTAATTTAATTATGAAATTTGCTTATGCAGGATATAAGGCGAAGCATGACAGGTAATCTGCGGCCAGTTTTGACGAATGTTCCGGCTTCCTCTGTGTACAGTGTCAGAACGAGACCAGCAAAAAGCAAAACTACTAGTGCTATGGACTCTCCTCTTGCTACTTGCAGCAATGCCAGCTCCGAACCAAGTGTCAACAATATTCCTGTTAGTTTAGAGGGGTGTGAAATTGAAGATGTTGATCTTGGAAGTGAGGGAGGAAACTCCTCCCCTGCAAGCCACCAAGGTAGGTGACCACTGATAGGACCATCGACCCCGGATTATTGGTTTCGCATCCATCCTCGTCATTCTCCCATCATTATTATTTTACATGGGGGCCTACCTAGCACTATATTTAAGCTACAACTCATCCCCGAAAGGAGCTGATGGTAGAAGGCACACTATAATACTGTAAATGTTAGAGAAAGTTTGTGAGTGCATGTTTATTCTGAACATCCTTGCTATGCTAGTCGAACAAAATATCAGGCGCCTTTGATGAACCACATTCTCTGTCATCAGTTAGGTTACTCATTAGCAATGATTTTGTACTGGATTTTTTATGAATGAAAGTTGAAGACCTCCTTCAGCATTTACAATTTGCTGCTCGTACTATGGAATTCAGTCTGATAGCATCTCTAGATAGTCTTTGGGTAAATGAAACTTCAAAATATCAAAGATTTCCCAACTTTGGGTTTCATTCTTCGTATTTTTATCATATTACACAGGGCGTGCTATGTGGAGTTGCTTATGCATCTCAACAATAGATAACAAATTAAATGAACACGGTGTTTAAAATGAAGATAATATTATTTGTGGTTCAGCAATTGAATGCTATGTTGAAGTGAGTCTCCTAATTAATCAAGGAGATTTATTTCCTTGATTAATTAAGGGATTTACTTTCATATTTTATAGATTTATTTCCTTGGTTAATTAAGGGATTTACTTTCCTATTTTATATAGTTGTCAAATCATTGTATAATTAGGAGATATTTTCCTAATCCTTTACTGGATCTAATTCCTTATAAAGCACTCATGTAAATTCTTATATATACCTCCTTATGGAGAAGAATAAGAAGAAGTTAACATATTCAAACCAAATATCATATTTTAGCATGGTATCAGAGCAATCGATCCTCGGTTGTCTCTAAATTCTCATAGCAAAATTTCTCCTCCCCCCTCAAGGGGGGAGGGGGGTGAAAAAGGATCTGTTTTTCTTTATCATGGAGATTTTACCTCTTTCTTGACTTCGACATACCCTTCTCTTCAGGGGGAGAAGAGAATTGAAGAGAAGTTTCTATGTTCTTAAGCCGTGTTCACAGGGTTTCTGTGTTCTTAAGCCGTGTTCACAGGGTTTCTGTGTCCTTAGCCGTGTTCACAGGAAATTTCTCATATTTTTTCCCAAATCCAAATCCCTCAAATCTAAATCCTCGTATCGAATTTTCTTGAACCACAAACCTTGAATCAAATTCCTCATCTCGTATTCCTCATATTCCTCATATTTCCATATCTAAATCCTCGTATCGAATCCCTCGTATCGAATTCCTCGTATCGAATCCCTCGTATCAAATTCCTCGTATCGAATCTCTCGTATCAAATTCCTCGTATCGAATCCCTCGTATCAAATCCCTCGTATCGAATCCGTCGTATCGAATTCCTCAAATTTCCTTGTTCAGATTCAGATCATCATACCCACATCCTCATCTACTCTTATCCCGAAACCCTAAACACATCTTTTTTCTCTTATTCTTAAATCCTTCCGCTGCCATGGATATCGTTTCTCAACCCAAATCCGAATATGAATCCGAATCCCAACCTTCCAACCTGAATCCGAATCCGATTCCGAATCCCAACCTTCCAACCTGAATCCAAATCCAAATCCAATTCCTACATCAAATTCCTCAAATCAAATTCCTAAATCAGCGATCGGTCGACAGTGGAAAGCGACCGGCCCCCCCTTAGTTCTTCGAACATGGAGAATCTGCTTCATAACTATCGGTCGCCAGTGGAAAGCGACTGGTAGTCAGAGAAGCTGTTTCAAACCGACCGGTCACCAGAGGAAAACGATCAGTTTTCTCCACGCTGTCAAAATCAGGAGGAGGAAATTGAACCATCTTATGAGATTTTGCCTGCTTCGGAGAATTCTTCAGCTCCAGTACCACACCAGTCACCTGCTGAGGACGTCATTCAGAAGGCACAGAGCCTGTATATTAGATTCCAAAAAAGGAAGAATCGTGGTAAACCTCCAGTTCACTACGAAGCAGATCTTAATGCAAAGGGGAAATATCCCATCAACAATTATGTATCCCTCAACAGATTATCAGAGTCACGGGTACATTTTGTGAAGCAGTTAGCCGACATACCTGTTCCCAACAGTGTAACTGAAGCACTAGAAGACCAAAAATGGAAAGAAGCCATGAATGAAGAAATACGAGCTCTCTAGAAGAATGGCACATGAGCACAGTGTGTCTCATAGGAATGCAGTTGATAGAATCTTAAGACTCACAGAAGCATGCGGTCAATCCCTGCTGACCCAGCTACCGGGACTTGTGCTTCTATCAACACCACCAAATGTTCTACTTTTCATACGTCCTCTCAAAAATTCACATGGATTATCGACTTGGGTGCTCCGAATTTCATGACTCACTTATCAAGTTGGGCATTTGTGACGTATATGCACCAACTTGAGGAGGAGTGTTGAAGTGAGTCTCCTAATTAATCAAGGAGATTTATTTCCTTGATTAATTAAGGGATTTACTTTCCTATTTTATAGATTTATTTCCTTAGTTAATTAAGGGATTTACTTTCCTATTTTATATAGTTGTCAAATCATTGTATAATTAGGAGATATTTTCCTAATCCTTTACTGGATCTAATTCCTTATAAAGCACTCATGTAAATTCTTATATATACCTCCTTATGGAGAAGAATAAGAAGAAGTTAACATATTCAAACCAAATATCATATTTTAGCATGCTAGACATAGCAATTCAATTTGGATTCTGGAGATACAAACAAAAATAGAAACCTTTGACAATCTAGACAGGTGTTTAACTATGTTCCACACAAATGGATGTCCCTGTCAAATGTCAACATAATTTTCTTGTTCTTCACCGACTGGTAAACGGTCACTGTTCTCTCTCATGTTCTAGTAATTCTTCCTCTTTGGACCGTCGTTCTAATAAAGTAAAGAATCGGAAAAGTAGGATGAAGAAAACAATTTCGAAGTAAGAGAATGATTTGCCTTCAATCTAGCAGCCAGTTTCCTGGCTTCAAAATTCAAACTTCCAACTTTTTCTTTTTGTTGCAGAGTTTAGAGACCACTGGTCCTGTAAAGAATGACATTGTTACATCTCTCTTTGAAATCTATGAATAAATAATATCACTTTGATGCTTTTGAGAATTTGCTCACACTTGCAGACGGCTGTCAATCATTATGTATATAAAACTCATAATGGAATTAATCGCTTAATCTCCATTTTAAGATGTGGAGATTAATTCATTTTCCAACAAATGATTAGGTAATTAATATTTTTTATTTATGCGGAGGGGGAATTTAGGTCAGGGTGAGGAGCACATCTGCTTTAAAATAAAAATAGATGGGACGTGTGTTACTATTATATAATATTATTCATAGCCCAGCGAAGAAAAATAAAATAGTTATTAGCCGTATAAGATAGATATAAGAAGAGTTTACTTTTCTTTTATGAAAATCTTGGTCTAGGTAAGTTTGAAACCTCAGCTGGGTTGGGTCTGTGACTCCTTACCAACCAGAGCCAGAAAAGACATAAATAACGGACGAGAAATGAGCAGATGAATCAACTTTGACTTTTAGCAATGTGAGCACTCGCATAAGTCTCCCCCGAAGACATCTAAGCAGAGCCACTACTAACCCACTTGATTTTTACTCTTCTAAGCTATAATCTTTCGTTTTCTTGTATATTGGGTAAGAAAATAATGGAAAAAAAAAGAGGAAAACCAATGTCACCATAAAAAACAGTCGGCTTATTATCACAAAACATCCTTGACGTTTGCGAAATTATCACATTGCATCCCTAACGTTTTTTTGTATCATTAATGATCCCTAACGTTAATACAGGTACTCTTAAATAGTCCCTCTGTCAAAAAAACCGTTAAATACAAGGGTATAATCGTCAAATCAATCCAAAACTATAATTTTTTTTCCTTCCCTTCTCTCTTTCTTTTCTTCTTCTTTCTTCTTTCTCT